CCGCTAGCCAACCCACGTTAGCTTGGTGTTTCCTCGGCAAAAGTATATTTTCCGCACATTCTGAAGGTATTTCGCGGTGTTTCCCTAGGTTTTCCTCAGGAAAACCTGTTTTTCTTGTCATTTCCTTTGGTTTTCTTAGGAAAACGTGCGTTACAGTGGTTTTTCTAAGGGAAAACATTACTTAAATTATTTTCCTTACGTTTTGGATGGATTTTGTGCGATCAACCTTGTTCTTGTTCTTCTTCTTCTTCTTGTTGTCGTTGTTGCTGTTGTTGTTGTTGTTGTGGTTGTTGTTGTTGTTGTTGCTGTTGTTGTTGTTGTTGCTGTTGTTGTTGTTGTTGTTGGTTGTGGTTGTGGTTGTTGTTNNGTGGTTGTTGTTATTGTTGTTGTTTTTCTTCTTATTATTATTTTATCTTCTGCTTCTTCTTCTCGTTCTTGTTCTTGTTGTTGTTCGTGTTCATGTTGTTGTTGTTCCCGTTGTTCCTGTTGTTCCGGTTGTTGTTGTTGTTGGTTGTTGATGTTGGTTGTTGGTTGTTGTGGTTGGTTGTTGGTTGTTGTGGTTGGTCGTTGGTTGTTGTTGTGGCTGTGGTCGTTGTTCTTCTTGTTGTTCTTGATGTTGTTGTTGTTGTTGCTGTTGTTGTTGCTGTTGTTGTTGATGATGTTGTTATTGCTGTTGGTGCTGTTGTTGCTGTTGCTGTTGTTGTTGCTGTTGCTGGTGTTGTTGATGTTGCTGTTGTTGGGGTGAGGGATCAAACAAAACTAAATAAGGATGAAACATATTAAGCCAGAGGATCAAACAAATAAAATTAAGGATCAAAAGCATAAATTACTATACTGTAGTAAAAACCATAGGAAATGAGGCGGAAGAGATCAAAAAAACTTTAGGGTTTCTCTTACATTTTACGATTTAAGGTTTCCTTTAGGGTTTACGCTTTCCCTCACCTTTTAGGGTTTAGGGTTTCCTCTGAAGGTTTTGTGTTTCTCTTACCTTTCAGGGTTTAGGGTTTCGTTTTAGGGTTTAGGGTTTAGGCTTTCCCTTTACGGTCCTTTTAGGGCTTCGGGGTTCAAGGTTGCCTTTTTGGGGTGAGGATTTCCTTTTAGGGTTTAGGCGTTCTCTTACCTTTTATGCTTTAGGGTTTCCTTTTCGGGTTCACGGTTTGGGGTCCTCAACATCCACATTGAAGTCGCCCACAAGGACCCACTCGTAACCGGATCGGGCGAGCTCGATAGTCATCTGGAAGGCATGCTCAGTGGCCGAGGTGGGGTCAGAGGCATGACCATAAGTAGCCGCCACCAGGATTTTGCGAGGGCCCTGAGCACCCTTCAAAACCACAGCACGACCTTGGGCTCGAGTAAGCAAAGTGGCGCGGTGACCGCGAGCATCAGGTGCCCCAAAGTAACAGTAAATGCCATGCTTGCGGAAGGCAGCCGTCACGGAAGGCGCCGAATCAACATTCACATCGACATCTTGCAAAGCCATAATGTATGCATCAATCCTCGCGAAGATGGTAGCAGTAGCGTCCACCTTAGTAGCGAGGGCCCGACCCACGTTCATGGTTGCAAAGGTGGCCGTCATGACTGCACCGGTTTGCTCCGCAACAAGGCCTCGCGGGCAGTCTCGAGTAGAGACGCGATCTGGTCAGGGGACAAGCCGCAGCGCTTTTGCTTGAGGATGCCAAAGTTGGACTTGAGAGTACGGGTCCTCTGGCGAAACTCGGCAAGCCTCCGCTTGAACGAAAACCTGAACTGCTGCTTGCAGCACCACCGATTGGCAAGTGCCGGAACAGCCCTCGCGCTTTTGGTAAACAGGTGCCCGCAAGCATCAGCTGAAAGCAAGCCGAAACAAGACACGCTGGCCACGGTCCTTGTCGTAGACGATCGGCCAAGGCACGGCCGTGCATCATCAGGAGCCGCCCTGCGCGGGCCCAGCGCCTGAACAACAAGCCTGTTGGCAACACGAGCCGCCCTTCTCCGAACGTAGCTTTGCCGACGATGCGCGTGGGCCATGCCAGCATTGCGATAAGCAACGTCAGAAACATCATGATGACGCTCACGTCGATGGGCGGCAACCGCGAGGGCCTGAGCATGCTTGCTGACAATCTCCTCACCAGCAGTGGGCAAGCCGAAGGCACACAAAGGACACTTCCAACGGTACTGCTCTTCAGCAATTTCTCTCCGAGAGAGCCTACGAAAGGCAGCGACATTAGACCGAAGGGGCCCAGGGCATCTACGTCCACCATGATATCGCTGGCAATGGTGGCTCCGGACAGAAGCAACATGACGAAGGAGCAAGGCTCACATCTAAAGGCGGGAACTCCCCCTGCAGCGACCAAGACGTTCTCACGAAAACGTCGCTGGCGGAGAGCTGCAGGCCTCTCATCACCTCCACCTTGCACAGAATCAGCGGGCTCATCCTCAGCAGGGCGCTTCCTCGAGGCACGCGAGGCACAAGAAGGAGTGCACCCCCCAAGGGAAGAAGCAGCATCAGCAGGAAGGGCGGTATGACCCCCAAGCGTAGAAGGCGCATTGCGCACCCGCGAAGGATTCCACCTAGAAACAGCCGTGCAGCCACCCAACGAAGAAACGGAGCGCGGGGCACCGCCACGATCAGCATCGACGCCAATGGGAGGCTGGCGTGGCCTTCTTGAGCTCATCGGGAGGAGCAGTGCCAATCAAAGCCTGGTAATGCCGAGCCTCGTACCATAAGCAAGTTGGGGTGCCCTTAGCAGTGCCCTGGAAAACCCGAATGTCATCATCCTCAGGCCGAAAGACGAACACAGGCTGCGCAAGGGTATTAGCAAGAGCAGCGATTTCGATTGAACCGCCCCAGCCTTGGCGAGCAAACGCATGTACTCCTCAAAACCCTGGTCTCGGATGGGAGTGCCTTGCGCATCAGGCGCATCACCGCGCCAGTATCCTTCATAGCTCTTCGCGTGCTTGCGAGTGTGAGTCACACACAAGTTACGAAGCTCAGCAGCAGTACGGGCACTACGCCCCTGAGCAACCAAGCAATCAGCAAAGGCCTGAAAGAGGCAATCGCCCCCGCCACTATTGATCACTATTGTCCTTCAAGGAAGTGCCGATGGGCAGATTGCGTGCGTGAGCCTTGACCTTCTTAGCCGGGGCACCATCATCCTGCTTGGGCTCGCTCTTGCCATCATCGAGCCGGCGGGCATCAGCAACATCGAGGTCCATTTCCTCAGCCCGAAGGTGCTGGCCGACAGACAAGCCTCGACGTCTTCGAAGGACCAGTGTCGCGGCAGGCCGGTCGCCCGCCAACGCCCACGCCGCTCTCTGGGCTTAGCACGGTCGGCGCCGGTCGCCGGGCGCCGAACAGTGCTCCTCACCAATCCAGTCGACAGCCAAGTCGGGCACGCCGTGATCGTGCAAAGTGTGCGGCAAAGCCGGTGGCTGTAAGAACCACCGGCCTCCGTGATGCAAGGAACCACTCTTGGCAAGAGCAGCCGCAGCAAGAGGTGCAGTCAAACGCACCAAGCCTTGAATGCATGCAGATTGGCCTCCGGGCCCAGGCCTCAGTTCCCAACCCCAGCTGTCCTGAACACGGCCAACAGCCTCACAGTCGCCCACTTTCGAAAGGTGGCCCTAGGCGAGGCGGCGGCAGCATCCCAAGTTTTAGCAGCATCGAAGTACACCCAATCGGCATGCACGCGAAGAACACAAGTGGAAGTAAGACTTGGAGGGGCCAAGGCGACGGCAGGTCGCGCGAGCTCAGGTGCAGTGCAACTGGAGAGCCCGACCCATGCATTGACAATCCTGAGTTGGTTGTGCCAAACACCCGGCACACGAACCTCGTGCCATTCGAGCTCCTGGAAATCAAGACGCTGATCCTCAAAGTGCCCCTTTAAAAGCACGACCGTCAAGTGGCGCTCAAGAGGAGCAGCCTGCACGAAGGTACGCAACTTTTCAAACTCGGAAACCTGAGTGGGATATGCACGCAGAGCACCATCAGGGGCCTCAAGCGCCTCCTTGGCAGTGCGCACAAGCTTAACATTTAGGCCCCAGTCCTCGGTGCGAGGCATCCAATCAGAAGGGCGCAGCGGGCCGGCATTGTCGGGGTGCTCCCTTGGCTTGCCGGTCCCCTTAGGTTTACCTGCAAACCTGCTGCCTTGGTCCTGGCTTTTGGTCACACCCGACGCAGGCTGCAACAAGACGGTGCGAGCAGCAGTGGCAGTGTCCGTAGCCTTGCGCCTGCGCCTTGTAGCTGTTTGCCAGCCACCGTCATCAACGCCAGAAGACACAGCCGGGGTAACGGCCGAGCAGACCAATCATCCCAAGCCCGGGCTGTGTGTCCATCAGGCTGTGCCGCGGAAGGCCAAGAAGCCCAATTGTCCCAAGTTGAATGGCCATCGGACTGTGGTCCCGCAGGCCAGGCATCCCAATCAGCCCCCACATTGTGCCCATTAGGCTGCGCAGCAGAAGGCCAGGAAGCCCAGTCATCCCAAGACTTGCGCCCACGCTGCTGCCACCGAGCAGCACGAGGAGGCGCCTGCCATCGCAGCAAAAGGTCCTGAAGTGCAGAACTTCGATCAGCAGGCCGATGCAGCACAATCCGCTGAAGCTCATCAAAAAGAGCCTCGCAGCCATCATCCTGAAAGGAGCCTCTCAGTCCGCTTACGCCTGGTAGCGCTTGCCCCACCAGCACCTCCGCGAAAGTCATCGATCGCAACTGTACAATGTCCAGCCGAAGCACCGCCGGCCGCTGAAGCATCGACGCCAAAACCATCGGCCGCGCCGCCTGCACCTCCTCGAAGGGGGTCCGATCCACAGCATCCTGCGTCACCGAAGGACTCGGAAAGCTGAGCCACATCGCTAGCCAAAGCACCGCGGGCCCCGTCAACGAAACCACAACCATGAGCAATCTGAAAAGATCTGCGCCTAGTGTACACGTCAGCCAAAACACCGCGGCCCCGTCAATGAAACCACCGCCATGGGCCATCTGAGAAGACCTGCGCTCAGTGTTGACATCAAAGGCCGGTTCCACCACCGGCCCCATGCAGTCGAACCTCAAACTGCCCAGGCAAAATGCACCGGGCTCATCGGCGCACTGCCCAGCCGAATCGCTTCCCAACGGAACAAAACTATTCACAGCGACGTCGGCGCTGCTATCCACAGCCAAAACACCGCCGGCCCCAGCATCCCCCGCCGAAACCAACGAAGATCCACCTCCGTTGCGCCGAGCACCTCGCCCAGAGAGCGAAGCATCAGCCAAAACACCACCGGCCCCAGGAACCACCTCCGGAGCCACAGAATTTTTAACGGCAATGCAAGCGCCGCTCCTGCATGCACGAACTGCACCAGCGCCAGCATCAAACGAGGACCCTGCTCGGCCACGGCCTCGCAAGGCCCACTGCTGTGCCACAGATAGAAAACACAATCGCCATCTGCGACGCTCACGGCAAATTCGAGAGTGCCCAGCCCAAACCGCAATCCAGGCAACCCTCCTGAATGAAACTTTGCCGACCTTTGGGAGTCCCAAAAGCCGGCGCATGCGCCAATGCTTCTTGCGGCGCCTGCGGAAAAGCCGCGTAAAGTAGCGGCTAGGCCCAAAGGGCTCGTAACATCGAAAAAGGCGGCCCAAAAGCCACAGCAAGCCAGATCCCACAGCCAGTATGCCGACGAAAAAGCCAATAACGAACAATGATGCAAAAGCCCCCCAATCCCACTGTCGCAGGCAGCACAAGCCACATGCTGCCCGCCCGAATTGTCAAAGTGTCCATCAATCTTGGGAGCATCAGAGCAAACGCGATGGACCTCAGAGATCTCTTCGCACCTTCCTGCCGGAAGGCCCGCATGCACCTCGTGGAGGTGGATCTCGAGCATGCACTCCAGATGCTGTGTGTGTGTGTCATGTGTATGTCATGCATGTACATAATACATACACACGTACATACATAGATACATACATACATACATACATACATACATACCATGCCATACCATACCATGCCATGCCATTCCATGCCATGCCAAGCCATGCCATGCCATGCCATACCATACCATAACATAACATAACATAACATAACATAACATAACATAACATAACATGGTGCTACATTACATTACATAACACAACGCAACACAACATAACATAACATTACATTACATCACATCATGATACATTACATTACATTACTGTACATAACATTACATAACATTACATAGCATTACATTGCATCACACTACACTACACTACCCTACCCTACATAGTACCCTAGATTACATTACATAATTACATTCCATTCCATTGCAGTACAGTACTTTACATTACATTACATTACATTACATTACATTACAGTACATACATATCCATATACACACACACACATGCGGCTTTCAGAATTCGCGGCAGCGTACTATCACGCGGTCTCGTATGCTTCGTGTGTTGATATTGATATCATCAATCATCCTCAGATCTGTTTACGGCTCCTTGTCCGCAACCTGCCTCCACGGCCCAAGCTCGAGGACACCGGCCAAGATCCAAAGGATCACGAAGCCGTAGCTCCCGGGAGCCTTTTCAATTGCCTTGATGCCGGCAGGCATGCTCTCGAAGCCCGGCAGTCGCACGAAGTGCTGAAACACTGCTCCGACGGTCGCCATCATCGCCACGCGGCCATTCTTCAGCTCCGCGGCGCGAAGCCAAGCGAACTTCTCCTCATCGCTCAGGTC